CACCGGCGGGGGCGGGCCCGGGGGGCGGATGGTATGCCAGGCCGGCACAAGGCCCGCGCATGCCGGCCCGGCGTGGGTTAAGACGCTTAACCCGGAGGTAAGATGAGAGTGAAACAACGCCATTGGCCGGGACCGTGCGCAGCCCCCCGCTCACGGGAGGACGTGCATGCGGTCACGCCATTGCCCCGGTCCCGTTGCCGCCACCGCCGCCGCTGGTGCCCCCGCCGATTGGACCCGGCCGGCGGGGAACACGGCGGCGCCTCCCGTGTGTGTGTGTGTGTGTGGCGTCCCGGGAGAGCGAGCGAGCGGCGGCCTTCCTCCCGGGCCGGTCCCCCCTGGGAGGCTGCCTGCCGAGGTGCCGCCGGCCGCGCCGGGCCCGGACACGTCCGGGTGCACCCCCCCCTGTGGTGCCCCCGTCCCCGGTCCCGCATCCTGGGTCTGCCTCCCAGGGGTGCGGGGGGGGAGACGGCGAGAGGGGAGCTTGCTTCCGTTGGATGGCCGCGCGAAGGGCCGCCGCACAGCGACCGCCCCGGCCGGCAGGGGGAGCCAGGCACGCCATGTTGGCATCTCCCCCTCCCCCCGGCCCCGGGCGGATTGCCGGACGAGCCGAGATCTCCCCCCCCGGCCCCGGGCGTTCGATGTGTTCCAGCCGTGACCTCCGGTCAGCGCCCGGCGGGGCCCGTGTGTACGGGGGAGAGGGCTGAGGGGCCGGCGCGGGGGCCGACACGCGCTTCGGCGTCTAGCGCTCACGCTGCCCCCTTCCGCTCCTCGCCAGACGATGGCGGCGGCGGCGGCGGCGGCGGCGGCGGCGGCGGCGGCGGCGGCCCGGCCTTTGTCCCCCGAGGAACAGGGCTGGCGTGCGGCGGTTGTTTTCTTTGTTGTTGTGGTTGTTTTCCCGCACACAAGACCCCAGCATGTTGCCCTTTTTCCCGGAGCGCGCAGGCCGGGGTCTGCGCCCGCCCCCCCCCGCGCTTCTGCCCATGGCCCTCTCCCGCTCGCCGCCTCGCCTTCTGCCCCTCTCCCGCGCGCCCCTTTGTCCCCTTCTCTCTGCCCTCCCCCCTCCCTGCTCTCTCTCTCTCTCTCTCCCCCCTCTTTCTGCATCCTTCCCCTGCTCTTCGCGATATCCGGGGTCCCTGATATGCACTCCAGCGAGGAGAACCTCGAGGCGCCGGCCACCGCCGAGGCCATCGTCCCCTCTGGCATTTCCGCCAAGAGCTACTCGATCTCCCCGGCCACCTTCCTGTTCGTTGCCCCCCCCCCCCCGCCTCCTCGCCCCGATTGCCACCGGCGTGTGGGTCGCCGTGTCCCCGCCCTCTCCCCTGCCCTCCCCTCGGTGCTCCTCTCATCCTAACCCCCTCTCCCTCGCCCCTGCGACTTGGCCCCAATAGGCAGCTCTGGGAGGACAACATCGCCCGGCCTCCGTCAATCCGGAAGCATGCCCAATCGCTGATCCTTGAGGGCACCCTCGGCGACTCGTACCTGCGTTCGATCTTCTGGCGAGTGCGTCAGCCTTCTCTCTCTCTCTCTCTCCCCCTGGCATTGCCACGGCCATTCTAATGTCTGCCCCCCTCCCCCCCTCCGCCCTCCAGGTCTGCCTGTCGATCCTCCCAGATGAGGGGCCCAACGCCTCGGAGGCCTGGACCGACGCACTGCACACCTCTCGCCAGTTGTTCATCGACCAGCGCAATGCTTTTTATGACCACCGCAAGTCCGACCTGGACTTCCTCTCCTCTCAGATGGACCCTCTGTCCGAGGACAATGACGTGCGTCGGCCCTGTCCCCCCTCACCACCGGCACCTGTCTCCCGG